TACTGAATGTGAGGCACCATATTAAGCTTCTGTGTACAGTGGTTTATTGTATTATTTCAGTCCTGATTTAGTCAGCTTTTTCACTGTTATGACCAAAAGACCTGACAAGAACAATTAGAGGAGAAGTTTTTCTGGGGGCTCACAGTTTCAGAGGTCTCAGTCCATAGATAGTGACTCCATCCTAGGGGCTGGAGGTGAGGCAGAGCATTTTGTTAGAAGAGTGTTGTGGAGAGAAGCAGCTCAAGACATCACACCAAGGTGGAGGTGGGGGAGGGAGAGAAAGAGAGAGCCATACAGACACACTAAGCTTAGCTCACCAATGTATACCCCCAGTGACCCACCTCCGTCAGCCACACCCTACCATCCTGCAGTTACCACTCGGTTAATTCCTGTCAGGGAATTAATTTACTGATTGGGTTAAGGCTCTCATAACCCAATAATTTCTCCTTTAAACCTTCTTATATTATCTCACACATGAGCTTTTGGGAGACACCTAGTATCTAAATCATAACAGATCTTGAAATCTAAATATCACTGTGTCATTTTGTAAATGAAGAAACTGAAACTCAGGTTAAGTAATCCCTGAATCACAAGGTAATCAGTTATAGAATCAAACTTCAAATCCTTGTGTGTTTGAATTCTAAAGCTGGTATATCTCAAACTTGAATAATGAATATAAACCCTCCTTCTAAAGGGAAAGTAATTTCCTCCCCTTATCCCATATTGATTCATTTTTATTATAAAACTAGTTACTTAAATAGATGTAAACACAAATTCATTTTGTTTATAGCTCTTATATAATTAAAAACACTAAAAACATAAAAATATAAGAAAACTTACAAAATCAATGAAATTCAAATTAGTGACATTTAATGTGAAAGATAAAGTTTTGCAGAAATGAAAATGCTGATTGCAAGATGAATTTATAGCTTACTGTTGCACAGACTTTTTTTAAGTTTGTTATGCTTATATTACCTACCATGTACTTGGTGAAAACTAGTTTCACCCACAAATTTTCTCTATTCTAATTTCTTCAGAATGTCCCTTCGGACAGTACTTTGTAGTGTCATTTGTCCTCCACTTGGTATAATCAGTTATTGTTAATTCTTTCTCTATTTTCGTTAACTATGATAAACCTTACAATTTGGTACCAATTTAATGGTTTGGGGTTCTGAAATGTCCTAGCACTGTGTATTTAGTTAAAAGGTTTTGGCCAATCATGTGATCTATAACATGTTCATGTTAATTATTTTGGGGTTATTATCTAAAAGAAACCACATCTTTGTACTGCAAAAAATTCCAATGTAGAAGAAACCATAAAATTTAAGAAATTTATAGCCTCTGTCAATCATAAATAGGCCTTTGTTATTCTCACTTAATGAAAAAATCATACTTCAGTTTTTCTCAAAACTCTGTATCCATCCCAATAGCTATCTGGTTTCTGTAAGGCTAAAAGTGGAAATCTAGGGAAGCTTCCATCTCTGTCACTTAAGTACTGCCTTAATTCAAGTCACCACTATTTTGAATCTGAATTCATGCCATGGCTCTCAGTTTATCCCCCACCAAACCATCTCTACAATGTGAGTTTTCTAGAATATAAACTTTAGGGAGTTGGGGTTGTGGCTCAGTGGTAGAGCATTCTCCTAGAATGCTTGAGACATGGAGTTTGATCCTCAGCACCACATAAATATATGATAAAGATATTGTGTCCACTTAAAACTAAAAAAATAAATATATAAAAAAGAGTCCTTGTCTTTAAAAATTTTTTTTTAAAAATAAACTTTTGGGGGCTGGGGATGTGGCTCAAGTAGTAGCACGCTCGCCTGGCATGCGTGCGGCCCGGGTTCAATCCTCAGCACCACATACAAACAAAGATGTTGTGTCTGCCAAAAACTAAAAAGTAAATATTAAAAAATTCTCTCTCTCTCTCTCTCTCTCTCTCTTAAAAAATAAAAATAAAAAATAAACTTTTGGGTCTCTACTTAGGAATATCCTTTCCTGGAACTTTTCCTCAATGCTTCTAACCTTTCACCTCCCACCCCATAGTGCATCATCCTCTGTTCCTTCCTGTCCCTCCTTTATAACTTCAGATATACATCTCTGGTTTAATACTTAGCACTTTGTGTTGTAATCTTTGATTTTTTTTTTTTTTTTGGCGGGAAGGTCTCCCAGATAGATTATTAGCTTCTTGACGTAATGCGTGCTTTATGCATGTCTCACTAGCACATTATGTGAATGGGAAGAGGATTCAGTGATGTAGTTATGATTCTTAATCACTGATCAGTTGTGATTTTAGAAGTGAGGAGTCTAAGGCAAGAGCAAAGTACACATTTCCTCATCTTTCTTATTTATATAAAATCTGTATGAATTACCTAACTCATGGAGTAGACTCTTTGAATCTGTAAGGAACATAATGTTAGAGAAGTCATGTTTTCATGAAGAATTAAAAGATAGCATTGTTTTGGGGCTAGGGTTGTGGCTCAGCAATAGAATACTTGCCTAGCACATACGAGGCCCTGGGTTCCATCCTCAGCACCACGCTAAAATAAATAAAGGTATTATGTCCAACTACAGCTAAAAAATAAATATATAAAAAAAGATAGCATGAGATGAATGTTAACTGGTGGGCAGGAAACAGTGGAGGGGGTGTGGGTATCCCATACAATCAGGTCAACCAGGTTCATAGGTAAGGGGTATTTTTTAGTATGGTGTTTCATGTCAGCCTCACAAGTGGAGCAGAATGGCCAGTCTTCTGCCAAAAGGGCCAGAAAAGATGAACAGGCCGATTATGGGGCCTGACTGATGCCAGGAGCCCGGATGTTGATTGTTGTATTGAATTTAGAGAGAATATCTCAGCCCAGCAAAGGAACTGGACATTGAGGCATAATTAGGAATGTCTGAGAGAATGGGAAGTTGTCTATGGAACAGAGTAATAGGGGAGTCTTTCTTGGATAGATGGTCTTTCCTCCTACCCCAACAATAGGAGAGGTGGACGGCACTGTTTAACCCCAGAATTCTGTCAGGCCTAAGAAGGTAGCCCCGGTGTCAAGGAGAAAGTCAACCTTGCGCCTATCCACCTGAATCTGCACCCTGGGTCCCTGTCTATTGATCATTATGGCTGGGGACAAGGACCCAAGACTCTGTCAATTGATTGCCATGCCCAGAAGGTCGGAGGATTCCCTGGCCATAGGCCTCCTACGGGATCTAGGACAGTCAGAGCCCCAATGACCTTGTTGTTGATATTTAGGGCATGGGGTACGTGGAGTGCGTTGTGTGGGGCATGCCCTGACCCAATGTCCCTCCTTGCCACACTTGAAGTAGGCGCGGTGGGGGGGGGGGGGGGGGGCGGCGGGGGGCGGGGGGGGGGTGTTTGACCCGCGGTGATGGGTGATGACCCGAGGAAGCACCCTGCAGGGCCTGGGCTAGCATCTGAAATTTCTCAGTCTGGGGGGTGGCAGGGCTTTGTTTGAGCTTTTTTAGTTTGGCCCGGATGTCGGGGTAGTTCTGCGAGAGGAAATATGTCATAAGGACATGACGGCCATCTGTGGTTTCGGGATCTAGGTTACTGCTGAAGGGCTTTCGTAAGCTGATCCAGAAATTCCGATGGGGTCTCTTGTAATTTTTGGAAATTGACGGCCTTACGTGCTGCTTTTTTTAGCCCAGCAATAATACATTCAAAGAATCAGTCCCTACTCTGTGTGCCAACTTGTATATTATCTGGGGCAGCAAGTGGCCCCGGAGGGTGACTGGGATTAACTCGGTGAGTTTCATCTGCATGGGCTCTGGCAAGTTCCCAGACTCTGGTACGTTCCTCAAGAAGGAGAGTATTAGCCAATAACATTTATAAGTGAAGCTATAAGCCTGGAGGACCCATTGAAACTCTCTTCTGTGGTGAATGAGCCCAACCTTCGCTCAAGTTGCGTGAGGTCATTCATAAAGAATGGGACATGTACCTCGATAATGCCCTCAGGTCCAGCAACCTCTCTTAAGGGGGTCATGGTTTGTGGGACTAGTTTGGGAGGATTAAAGTTGTCGGCTGAGTCAGGGGGAGCACCTGAGGGGCTGGACGGAGCCAACGGGGGAGGTCGGTAGGGATGGGGTTCATCTGCTGGATAGGCTGGGGTGAAAACGAAGAAGAGAAAAAAAGCCTCAACATAGGGGATCTCCTTCCACTTTTTTGAGCACTCGCAGAAGTTAAACAGATCTCTGAGAATTGTGGGATCTAGGGATCCTCCTAGGGGCCATTGACTTTGATTGTCTAATTGATAGTAAGGCCAATCTTGTGTGCAGAGTTTAATAAGTGGGAATCTGCATGGAAGGAACAAGAGGCCCCCATAGTTCAGGAGAGGGACAAGAGTGGTTAAGAGAGAGAGAGAGAGGAGTGCCTGTTCTTCCACCCCTCAGTACCTCCCACTCATGAACCGGGTTCCAGAGAGTCCACGGTGACTGTGAAGGTCGTGGTGGGGTGCGTTCTCTCCTCCAGATTGGGCGTCAGAGGTTTTCCGGATGATCACGGTCAAAGCCCCTGTGTAGCCCGTCTGAAGTTGGATACCCCAAAGGGGAACTCACCTACTGAAGAGCCAGTGTTGTGTGAGTAGCAGCAGTGCTCGAAAGAGTGGACGATGACGGCAAGCCTTGAGAGAGGGGGCCCTCGAGCACCAAGGCATTCCCCATCCCAGGTTTTGGTACCAATGAAAGAATGAACAAGGCCCGTGGTCAGAGAAAATGCCCGTGTATTGAGGAACAGCTCTGCATATTTATAGAGCCGGGGGCAGTTTGACAGTTATGACAGTTTAGTGGTTGAACAGTTTGACAGTTGGCATGGGGTGCTTTCTGATTGGTGGGTAAGGATCATGTGAGTCAGCAGAGCTAGTCTGATTGGTGGGTAAGGATCATGTGAGCCAGCAGGGCTCACCATTGGATGACTCTTCTTGGGGGATGGGGAAGTTAGTCTTTGGAGCCCGGCCGACTCCCAACAGTTTTGTTTCTCTTTTGGTTAGGTGCTGTGATTGTCTCCACACCCCAAGACATTGCATTGATGGATGCACACAAAGGTGCTGAGATGTTTCGAAAAGTCCATGTGCCGGTAAGCATCGACAGCTACATTATTGAAAAAAAATGAAACTCTTCTAACTGAAGAAGCAAGTAATTGAAGAATATAGTCTGAGTTTTAATTTAGTCTAGTACAGAAATTTTTATGAAATTCCTAGTTCATATTTATGGTCACTTTAAAAGCTCTTATAGGTACCTGTCTATACATTATTAATTAAGAAAAATTCTGAAATATCCTTCTGATACAAGTTTTCTGAAAAAGTACTATTCCTCTCAAATACTTGTAGCCTTCTTCACTAAAAAAAAAAAAAAATGACAATGACGAGCATTTTAGAAAACTAGGTAGATAGACTTGAAGAGATCACTTATGGGAGAACAAGTGAAAAAAGAATACTTTTTTCTTTTGTTGTCTCCTACTATTATGGTTTGATGTGAGTTGTCCCCCAGAAGCTCACATGTGAGACAATGCAAGAAGGTTCAGAGTAAAAATTATTGGATTGTGAGAGCCTTAACCCAATCAGTGTATTAATTTCCTGATGGGATTAACTGAGTGGTGACTAGAGGCAAGTGGGGTGTGGCTGGAAGAGGTGGGACATTGGGGATGTGGTTTGTGGGTATATATTTTGTGTCTGGCCAGTGGAGTGGCTCTGCTTTCTGATCATCATGTGAACTGCTTACCTCTGTCACACTCTTCTGCCATGATGTTCTGCTTCACCTCGAGCACCTCCAGCCTCCTCAAGGAATAGAGCCGGCTTTCTATGGACTAAGACCTCTAAAACCATGAGCCTGCAAATAAACTTTTCCTTCCCTACAATTGTGCTGGTTGTGTACTTTAGTCACAGCAGCAAAATAGCTGACTAAAACACCTACATTTTTACTCACTATTAGCCTACCTTCTTCTAAGAGATACTTCAGGATTTTCTGCACAGTATGATAAAATTGAACAAGGTAAAAATATAATAAAACAGACAAAGAATAATTTAAATCAGATAGAATGAATAGAAAGTCAGTATAAATGCATGCCATTAGAACTTCAATACCTGCTGGAGGCATGCCCTGAGTTTTCTACCAGCCAAGGGCACCATTAAAACACCCTCAACTACCAGAAGGTGAAAAAAGTCTGGGTGCTCCAGAGAAACAGCTGAGACCAGAAGAGAACTTTTCTGTGTTCTCAGAAAGAAGGAACTATATATATTGAACATGTTCTCATTACTTCTTTACAATAAAAAAAGTTTTCTCCTTCAAGTATGCCTCAACAAGAGAAACTGTGCCAGGGGACAATTAGAGTAAGCTGAGGTGACAAGGTGTACAAGGTGTACAAGTCCAAGGTCAAAGTGATACTTCTGTCTATGCAGCTCTCTAGTGGACTTGCTAACTTCAAGGATAGATTTTAAAGTTTATACAACAGAGCTTTTTTAGCTCTTGGATTAGCTTCAGAGATCTCATAATTCTCTCTATCTCCTGTTTCCCATAACAAGTTGTATGCTCAATTATGTTCATTTTGGCATAGAAAGAATTCATAACTATCTTCAGATACTTCAATGAGACCATGACACAGGATAAGACCCAATAATGTATTAGAATGAATGGACTCTCAGAAAAGCTTTCATAAATATTTATCAGGGGAGATTTGAAAAGTATAAAATTGTACAATAGTGGGATTCAGGTGACCCTCCTTGACAAGTACCTCTTCTCTCTTGCCAGTTAATGCAGAGCTGTGTGCATTGACAAGATGTGGAGCTCTGGGTTGGATCAACATGCTCTGGTGAAAATAGAGGAGCCTGGGAAGTGGGGGTTGTGGCTCAGTGGTGGATTACTTACCTTACATGCACACAGCACACAGGGCAAAAAAAAAGAAAAAGAAGAGAAAATTAAGCCTAATAAGGAAGACACCTTAACTCTTACCTTCCAAGTAATCTAAGGCTATTTTTCACTAGCAAGGGTAAAATTGTGATTGATAAGTAGTGTAGGGCCAGTGTTCTATGTTGTGAATTTTAGCTTAGAAAAATTTTAAAGCAATGATATCCAAATGGTCATCTCATAAAACTTTGTCTCTAAAACACCTAGTTTGAACAGAGTGACTTTATGTCCTCCAAGAAAAACTAGAAATGAATAATGCCCACCCAGATAGCTAAATAGGTTTGCTTATTATATGATATTTTAAATTATAAAATTAAGAGAGAGGGCTTTCTACTAAAAATGATGACTCTGAATTTACAAGTAATCTGTCATTCTTTCTGGCAGAAATGAGGTAACAGGGCCCATGGTCTGTTAAGATCACCTTAAGATTAGGATAATGGCCTTCTTTCTGTGTGTAAGTAAATGCTTAACTTCTCATTCTGTAAGGTGGAGGTAGAGAAACTTGTCTAGCTCATTCGAAACATCATGAAGTCTGTGAGGAAAATAAACTTAAAAGGGTGGGAATAAGAACTTTTTCCTATTTTATCCCCTTGTCAATAGACCATTTCAGCTGACACTGTCATTTGAGGTGGCAGCAGCTATGGGGAATTTCCTACTAGACTACTAGACTTTGCTAGTTGAGAGTCTGATAACCATAGTTGCCAAATTCATCTTGTCTAACTCCTTTTAGTTCAGGAGTTAACTTGCACTTACTGGCAGCCCGTGGCACTTACTACCTGTTAATAAATAAAAAGGTAAACAGCCTCATACTGTTCTAACAAAATTTTCTCTAGGTTTTAAGACAGAAAGTAGAAAGTTACTCCTTCTAGAACATAACAAAGGGGGAAAGGGATGGTCACAAAATCCAGGTTAGGCTACTATTAGGTGGATGCCATTGAAGGGTAAAAGTTGAGGATATTAGGGAATGCGGGAAGAAGTATCTCAAGTGAAGGATGATGGGCTGTATAAGGCACATAGGAGTATTTCAGGCATTATTTAGAGAATAAGAGAACTGTTTGGGATCGAACAGTTAATGTTGGAGTTCAGATTTACAGAACTGGAGCAGATCTGGGTCATGGTAAGGTCCAGGATGTGGTTGTGGGTGTGTGGGACTGAAGGAGAGTAGAAATAAGTCACTGAAGCTGTGTATTCTAAGATTGATTCCAAGATGGAATTAATGGTTCCTTCCTTTGTTTTTTTTTATGCCTTCCAATATCTTTATTATAGCCCTATTTTTACCCATATTTTAAAATTATTTGCCCTTTCAAATGTGAAATTTTTTAAAGAGGTAGAATGTCTTAATGATTTCTTAAACTTTCAGACCAAAAAAGATGTTCAACAACGTTTACAAGTAAATGAGTGAGAACTATTTTGACAATGAGCTCTATCTGTGATTTGACAACCATAGTGCAGCTACCTTGAGAAGGGAATCTGGGCTGAAAGTGAGAAGTGGATTTGATCACTTCTAAGATCCCCTGGCTCTTAAAAGCCTCAGAGTCTAAATAATGGTAAAGTGTTTGAAATTAGAAAGTGTTCCATAAATGCAAAGGAGATGTTATGCTTTATTTATTCCACTTTATTCCATTTTTTCCCCTGGTTTTTAGTCTTGTTCTCTGTTTTCCCCCTTTTGAAGTGCATTAGTTACCATGGAAACAATGATGTCATTGGAATTCATTGGTATGGACTGAGTTAGTAATGTCTGCTGAAGATAATTTAAATGATTTTCTTAAAACTCAATGCATAGATATCGAAAGGTGGAGAAGAAATGACTATTAAATTCTCTATTCTCTGCTTGAAATGATATCAACTATGCCAGTACTTGTAGGCACACAATTTTTTTAAATTAAAAACATTCAGTTTTACACATTTTTAATAAGTAATTTATGTAATTTCTCACCTAACCTATTTTTATTACCTTCATTTACAAGGGAGTCCCAGGCCCATTGATTTGGAGTTCTTCCCCTACCATTTGAATTTTTGAGTCACAGATATTTCACTTCCTTCTTTGGTAATATCCTTCCCAGCCCATGAAAATTATCTTAGAATATGTTTACTCTCTTATTCCTTCCTCAAATAAGGGATCACTTAGTAAATACATATTTACTGATATTGAGTGCTTTCTGTAAGTACAGTACTATGATAAGCTTCCTTGTATGATTTAAAAAAGAAAAAAGGAGATGAAGCCTGTTTCTTCAATCTGCCAACTAACTCCATGGTGGTACAGGGTCTCTAAATTCTGAGGAGCATGAAAACACAATCCTCCTGCAAATGCCATGATTTTATTCTCTTTTATTGCTGAGTAATATTCCATTGTGTATATCTGCCACATTTTTTTTATCCATTCATCTATTGAAAGTCATCTAGGTTGGTTCCACAGTTTAGCTATTGTGAATTGTGCTGCTATAAACAATGATATGGCTGTGTCCCTGTAGTGTGCTGTTTTTAGGTCCTTTGAGTATAGACTGAGGAGAGGGATAGGTGGGTCAAATGGTGGTTCCATTCTCAATTTTCCAAGAAATCTCCACTCTGCTTTCCATTTTGGCTGCACCAATTTTTAGTCCCGCCAACAGTGTATGAGTGTGCCTTTTTCCCCACATCCTTGCCAACATTTATTGTTGTTTGTCTTCAAAATGGAGTTAGAGAAGATGATGCTAAGTGAAGTTAGCCAATCCCCAAAAAACAAATGCCAAATGTTTTCTTTGATATAAGGAGGCTGATTCATAGTGGGATAGGGAGCGGGAGCATGGGAGGAATAGATGAACTCTAGATAGGGCAGAGGGGTTGGAGGGGAAGGGAGGGGAGAGGGCATGGGTTAGAAATGATGGTGAAATGTGATGATAATTATTATCCGAAGTACATGTATGAAGACATGAATTGGTGTGAAAGTATTTTGTATACGACCAGAGATATGAAAAATTGTGCTCTATATGTGTAATAAGAATTGTAATGCATCCCGCTGTCATATATATATATTAAAAAAAAGATAACACAATTCTCCTGTGGGCCATCATGGAAAAGTCATGCTTTTTAAAAATTTTTTCTTGGTACTATAATTTTATATATGCTGGTCCTTTGCTTTATAAGTCATTGTCAGCTAGGGAACTCATATCATTTTTCAAATTTCTGTTCAGGTAT